ATGCAAAATCCACTACCTCTAGTCACTTGTGCCCTGGCAGACTAACGATAAACATATTTGTACACAGTCCAGTACTCGTATCACACACGGCGCATTGGGCGCCACTGCCATCCAGGAGGTGCATGGTGGCGCATCTCTTTGATGGCGCCTTGGGTCTTGGCGACGAGGGCCATTCCATTGCCATCGATGTGGTCGCGCGTCCCCGCCCCCACTCTGTTGTCATTTGCTTCGCGCCCACGACTGCGACGCAACGAAAGAAAGGTACCACGCCAAAAACTACTACGAAAGAAATGCTGTATCCTCAAGATAGTGATATAAAGAGGGGACTAGTACAAGACTGTGGCTAGCAAGATGATGACGGCGCCGCTCAATGACACCGCGATGGAAGATGACGGTACTGCAGGAGTTGACGTCGGTGTTACCGTGACAGTGACTGGCAGCGTGATTGTGATCGTTTTAGGCGCAAGTGTGGCGTTCGTGGCATTCCGAGTGACAGCCGGCGCTGATGTTGTCACGTTGAACGTGGTCGGCAATGGCGTTGTCGCATCGTCCTGAGGGGCTGATGTGATTGCACTCGACGTTGGTGCTGGCTCCGTCGCGGCACTTGAAGAAGCACTTGGCTCGGGCGTCGGCAGCGAGTCCAAAACGGGCGTTGGTTCTGGCTGCGTGCTCGGTTGGGGCTCCGTACTCGGTTGGGTCTGCATGCTCGGTTGGGGCTGCGTGGTCGGTTGGGGCTGCGTGGTCGGATGGGGCTCCGTGCTCGGTTGGGGCTGCGTGTTCGGTTGGGGCTCCGTGCTCGGTTGAAGCTGCGTGGTCGGTTGAAGCTGCGTGGTCGGTTGAGGCTGCGGGTTTGGTTGCGGGTTCGGTTGAGGTTGCGCACTCGGCTGGGGCTGCGGATTGGGCTGCGGGTTGGGCTGCGGGTTCGGTTGCGGGTTGGGCTGCGGATTGGGCTGCGGATTGGGCTGCGGGTTGGGCTGCGGGTTGGGTTGCGGGTTGGGCTGCGGGTTGGGTTGCGGGTTGGGCTGCGGATTGGGCTGCGGATTGGGCT